CCAGTGTACCTACATTTGATCTGTTTAGGCGCTGGTGAATTGGGGGGGAAGTGTTTTTGCGGAGAAGGACAGGTTGTTTGAAGGGGATGGGTCCTAAACAATCATCACGGACGCGGGGTGGAGGTAACACGTCAGCCCAGGCAGAGCCACGTGAGTGCGACGCAAGCGTGGAGAACACGATGTAGAATACATGTCGTGGAAGTAGAAAACATGCACCGCAGATGTATCTGTGGCATGTACATGTTGCATGCATAGCCATTGGTTGGAACCATGGAGACGTGTCTGGACGCATAGTTGCTATGTGTTTCACGCACCACTCATTGTTCTGGGATTCAGGGAATTTGAACTCTGTATTATCTGGTTCCATTGTACCAACTATTCATTGTTCTCCTAGGGAGTAAAAATACTGTACTGTAGGACCCAGTTAATATATGGGTTTTCCCCTTCATTTCTCCTCAAGTTACAAGGCTTCAGTATTCAGCAGGAAATTATCCAATCATGTTGTTTGAAGTCATCAAGCAGAGGTTGCAATTGAGTCGCTCAAGCTTTATTGATGCCCATTCCTAGGGGTTCAGCTCCCGCATCACAGAGGCCTAATCCCATGTCATGTATCGTGTTCACATCGCTAATTAGAGGTCCATGATACATCAGATTCAAATTGTGCACACAACATTGGGGAGGCGACGCCACCCGCTGACGTGACATTGAAGGGACCATGAGGACCTATACACCCATTCGGAAAGTCGGAGATAGCGCGGACGGGTTGGGATTGGAAGGCGTTGGCCATTAGGAGCAGATATTTTAGTCCGCAGGAGCAGACTGCCATAATCGATAGATTAGACTTTCTGGCTTGATAATATGGCGGAAAGAACTTGAGGAACAAGGCTGGGGTGCGTCTTGAATAAAACAGAAAATAGTCAAGCTCATCGGGGAATTGTTCGAAAAGCAGGGAATTGGCGTCGTTAACGACTCGACCTAGGTTCCCGTTTCACGGGATGCTGTGGCAGACTGCAGAACGTCGACCGTTTTTCAGATCAGAGGATGTGGACTCGGAAGGCACCCCAGTTTGACCTACGCAGTGCGCGCGTGGCGTTCAAAACCGTCCAGTCCGCGCTCATAGGAACGGCTTGTCAAAAGAATGATAGTGATAACACAATTCCCGTGGCTTTGGTAGAGAGTATCAATAATGAAATTCGAATCGGGGTTTGAGAGCCTGATGTGTAAGATACGCTCCTAAAATCGCACTACATCCTGAAAAAAAGTCCCCATTCAGACAACAAACTGACAGTCGCGGTGCAGGCTTACCGCCAAATTGGAGGTCTAAATTCGCACGACTGAACGCAGTTGGTATAAAGACAGGTCGATACAGCGTCTTTCAACCCACTCCCTTAAACACCAACAGGTTTCCACTCCTTGCTGCGAAATATGTTCACTCTTTCCAAGCTCAGTTTCTTCGCTCTCGTCGCTGCCGCTTCGGCCGTGTCTGTTCCCAGTGAGGTAGGTACCACCGCAGCGCTGGGTAGAATGCAGCTAACGGTTCTGCAGCTCGTCAGTCGCGCTGAGGCTAGTGTCGGCCGCATCGGTGGCCTAGTATGTTGTGCAGTTCCTCTGACATGGCCATCATCTGACTCTTCCGCTAGACCCCTGCCGCCGCCCAAGTCGCCCTTGTCATTGTCTGCAAGGATCCCAACTTTGTCAACTGTATCACCCTCAACTTTGCAAGCGTTCCCACGGGATGCCTCACCGTGCCAGCCGCGTTCAACAACGAGATCAGCAGCATCATACCCCTCCCTGGGATTGTATGCACCTTCTTTGAGTAAGTGCCTCGAGTCTCCATTGAGCCTGTCTTCTCACACTGGTGGTATAGCAATTCTAATTGCACTGGAAGGAGTGTCGTCGTCACCGGCCCCATTGCCAACTTGGATAACGTCGGCATGAACGACCTGATCAGTTCCTTCTCGTGTGTCAGCGCATAAAGACAGCGTTGAATTGGGTCGAATTCGTCGTAACAATTGTCGGTCCTCGTATGCAGACTTGTGACGAGTCTAGGGGTCTCGCTGGGTAACGGATTGCGTAGCCTCACAACTTTGTTTGTAACAAAACAGGCGAGGATGGAACATTCACTTGCCTAAGGACGTCCGTTTTCATTATATAGGGGACCTCTTATGGTACTTTCGTGCACCAGTAAGCCCCCCTAAGAGGTCCCCTCCGACCGGAGGCCCAGACTTGTATTACAGTGATCCACCGGTCAGTGGAACACACCGGTCAATGAAACACCCAGTTTGTGGGCGGGTCTCAGTGGATCCTGCACTCAAACATAGTTCATATTGAAGTACTATACATAATAACTCCATAACTGAAGACCTGGATCGATAACTGGTCGCAGAGAGGAGAAATAGAGGGAGCTCAATTCTTGATTTGGCAGGTGATTTGATCAACCGGTCAATGAAACAGTCGATTCAACGTGGTATGAGCTCAATTCCTGCTCAATTACTATGAAAATTTGAGACGACCAAGGTAGACTCAATACAATACATTCAGCCTCTTCAGAACTTTTGAAATGGAAATTTACTTCAAGATATCAGTGGGATCATTTTTAAAATTCCACTGTTTCACTGACTGGTGGATCACTGTACTTACGATGGGGAGGGGAGGCCTCTGGAGTATGGACGCACGCGCGGCAGATGGCATCATCGCAACTTCAACCTGCCGTTCTCGCCTGTGGGTCAATAGACCTAATATTTAGCGGAGGTTCTTGAATTCAGTCTCTGTGTGGTTTTCGCCCTCATGACCACCAATGAGCCAATATTTTAACCATCATTGTGGCGAGCAGTGGCCTACCATTTGTATTTGACTGCTTGGATTCTCACCGCCAAATATTCGCACCAGTTGAGACCAAGGGGGTGTCAAAACGCGAAATTTCCACTTATGGTCCCTAGTATGTTGCCGTTGGAGTCTGATATTACGTTCCGTGGCTGTTGAGCGCAGCCACCCACAGCCACGGAACGTGAATACCAGGCTCCAACGGCAACCTACTAGGATTTGTCGTTGTTGTGGATATTGGGGATTCGGTGCCCGCGCGGAGATAGGCAATGGTACGTGTACAAAATCTCGTGGCTAACGGAGGGTCTGATAAGGTCTTCGAATGTATACACTCCCGAAAGCCCCTATGGTATCAATGCAGACAATTTGAATCGGTGTGATAGTGTGCGTATCCTGCTCTTTTGGTTGTTTTACTATTTGCAAATTGCTAACTTTGCCTGTATGAAATCGAGACAACGGGACAAGGGGATGGGTTGGTCAAGGTATTGGGGTTGACAGATACATTGGGCGACAGAATAAGGGAATATTTCGGATACTATCAATGTACTGTAGATGCAATCAAATGAAATTCAAAAAGTGATGTCGGATAAATACGGCACAAAAAGTGTTCTGGGGTTCCTTTCCTGGGCTGTAACTTTCTAGGACTGGGAATCGGATGCAGGGGATCATGTTTTCAAAAAGAACGGGGCGGGCTTCGATACTCCACGGCTCAAAATAAACCGATCTTCAATATACATTAAAATATGATGTCAAAAAAGATAGACCATGAGGCGAAAACAATTCCTGCCAAAGAATGGACATTGGCTAGCCCGATTTTGATTCTGAAGGACACATGTCCACACGACAGCAAAGGGCTGGGCGAGTTGTAGCCGATTTCAGGCTGTCCTGAATATGCAGCATGTTAAAATACAAAAAAAGATGAACAATGAGGCGAAAACGATTCCTGCAACAGAATGGGCATTGACTGGCCCAATTTTCTTTCCAAAAGACATGCTTAGACGCAGTTGCAAAGGGCTGTACCCAATTCCGGGCTGTCCTGATTTCCAACACTTTATACTAGATGATTACTCAAGTGTGGGGAGAATCCATCCCAACACCCCCGAACTGATGTCATAGATCAATTTGATCGCACATCAACTTGTAGAAGATTTCCTGCAGTTTGATAGGCGGCATCAAACTGTAGAAGATTTCCTGCACATTGATCGCACACCCGCAATTTGATAGGCGACATCAATTGCAGAAGATTTCCTGCAGTTTGATAGGCGGCATCAAATTGTAGAAGATTTCCTGCAATTTGATCGCACATCAAACTGTAGAAGATTTTCTGCAATTCGATAGGCGTCATCAAACGATAAAAGATTTTCGAAAATATCTTGTATACCTCGCTAAATATAAACCCAAATTGCAGAAGAAAAGTTGCAATTTGATGGCAAAATATGTTGAGCCAACCGACCCCCGAAAAAAAAAAAATTGGGAAAGAAAAGTTGTTGCTGAAAGTCACTTGAGCGGAGGAAAAATTGATTTACCTAAGAACCACTGGGCTCAGCTAAACCAAAAAAAAAAAAAAATACCCCAAAATGCCTTCGATGGACGTCAACGTTGAGAAACTTAGTCGGATTGCATGCTGTAACAGGCAAATGTGTGCAGAGTAGCGTTAGGCAAAAATCTGTGGTGGGTGATGTGTGTTCCAAATCCGACACAATGGGATCAAAACAGCGATGACAACCGCAATTGACAGTTATGAGGTCCGCACTTCCAGGGCCCTCCTTGGAATGGGAGAGAGCTGTAACAGGCAAATGTGTGCAGAGTGGTGTGGGGCGAAAAAAATGTATGGTAGGTGATGCATGTCCCAATGCAGTAGATGCGATCAAAACAGCGACGACGCCCGTCATGGACGGGGCCCAAGTGCACGCTTCCGGGGCCCTCCTTAGATTGGGGGTCAGCAGGTTGGGTGAAAAAATCAGCAATATTGGGGGAGGTAAATGGAATGGGGGGGGCCATTCCATGCCTAAAACATGTAGGCCAGATGGGAGCCCGTCTGCTAGAAATTTACAGATCAGCTCTAGCATCTGCAGGAGCCCCAGTTCGACTCTGGGATGGGTCATGCAGGCTTTGCTGTGCTCTTTTTTCTATTTAAATTTGGACTCTATATTCTTGTTCAATTAGCGAGAGAGAATGACCTGTTAGCGCATTCGGTAGCACACTATAGTTGGACGAGAACGTAATCATGTGGGAACCTAGTTCGACTCTGGGATGGGTCATGGCCGTTTGTGAGCGTCTGCTTTTTTGTTCGGGGACCTTCCATTTCATTTTTTTGAAAGCCCAGCCTACATTGGGAAAGACCTGTTTGGCAGATGGTAGCCCGCCCACTAAAACTTCAATCTCATCGCGCACCTGTAACTTTTTTAGATTATTTCGGGACTAATAAATCATCTCATTTACTCAAGCGCGCTCGATGTCATAGTTCAACTAATATAGCAGAATGACCTGTTTGCACAGAAGGTAGGATACCCACGATACTAGTTAGATTATGTCGGGACGAATAAATCATCTCATTTTACTCAAGCACACTCAATGTCAGACATAGTTCAAGTACTTGGGGTAAAGGGCCGTGGCTCTGCCCGGCATGAACGAGTACTTTTTTTTTTCAGTCGACTGTCTGTCATGCGCAGAGTTTATAAAGCATACTACTACCATTGGGATAATAAATTAAAGCAAGCGGATAGTAGGTGCGTTCAATTCCTAGGACGTAGGCTCGTCCTCTGGGTTTATCTGTTTAAAACAAATAGAATCCACAGGACAAAGCACTCAGTTCTTTAAACAAATAAACCCACGGGGTAAGAATTAAGTACCCTTAGTGCGGCGTAGCCAGAACGAGTGCCGGCCATCATGACCTGAGCATTGTGTCGTAGTTAACTCTGAACCATAGTAAATATAAAAAGAGCGGATCCGACACCCAGCCCCATTCTTGAAATAAAGGGTTGACACTGCGATGCAATGACTGATTTTTTGTCCTCAAAGTGGGCCTTTGCTGAATGCCACAGCCGCACAATAGGGATAATTCTAAACCCCATATTGCCGGGGTGTTAACAAAATTACCCGAGCTGCTGCTATCTGAGAACCCTGAGATGGTTTGATGGCACAGGAGGTGGGGATGTCGCCTGGGGTGCAAAAATAATTCCCAAAATGCCTCAAGAGAAATTGAATAGATATTTTATCGGGTTCCATGTTTTTTTTTTTTCATGCCTTCACCCACTAGGGGTGTGCATACTGGACAAAAACTAGACCATGCCTGAAATGGCAAGTCAGAAGATTCCTGGTACGTGCTCCGTGCTCCGAGGCGGGAGAGTAATCTGAACCACCTCTATATCAGACTTCTGATGGAATTGGATTCAGTTCCATTAAATCCTGGGCAATTTTATGGTGCGAATCAAGTTCCCAGCAACACAGCTGAGAACCAAGTACTTACATTAATCATTGATCTGCAACGCGAGGCATAATGTCTTCTCGCAGAAGAATCAGTATGAAGTTTTTCACCTAATAAAGCTGGACTAGGGGACAAGAACTCAACTGAGATATATATTGGCACAGCAATCAGATACAGGGTTGTTTCACCAAAGCAGTCAAGGAAGCAAACACCATATACTCAATTATTCGTTTGGATCATACAATTTGGTATAAATTTATTTAAACCCGTTTTATGCCCTACTGCCAAACAAAGATGCATTTAACCAAAGGGTGCCCAATCTCTATCACAAATTGTCTGTGGTTTACGAGCTAGAGCATCGTCTTGAGGTCGGAATTTCGGCAGGGGACCCCTTTTTTTACTCGGTGGAGACATGCTGTATGGCCCTGTTAGCAATGGAGGGCAATACAGGGTGAGCAACTACACGTGATCTCTGCGGATCAGGATCACCGAACTCTCGTAAGATAGTCCGACGGAATGAACCGAAGTGTTAATTGTTACGGTCATTTAAATTGAAGGGTGGGCATTTCTAATTACACAAGCAGAAGCGGTAATTTAGGAAATATATATATATAGGCATACGAACGTGGAAGAGCAGTTTACCCGATCGCAGCCTGCAGGAGCAGGTGAAGTGCTCATGAAGCCGTCGGGTTGGCGATCGCAGATGGAACAAGTGAAAAAAACCCCGTCGGATCATTCCGAATGCGATGGCCAAAAAAAAAATTACAGTGTTTGCGCATGTTGTTATTTTTCACCGAGTAGGGGGTATTTTTCCCCGAGTACGTAAACATGTACAATGCTCAGCCACTAAATACACTAGGTTTTTTTCTAATAAAGCAATAAAAACGACTTCACACAGCCACTAAAAAGTACCTCACAGTTTTTTGTCACTAACCCTAATTAAGGTCCCCCGAGATATGAAAGAGACGATCCTTATTACATAAGTACTCGTAAATACAGCAGAATGACCCGTTGGCGCAGAAGGTCGCATACCCACGATACTCGTGTATTGTGTGTCAGGCCCCAGTTCGAATCTGGGACAGGACATCCTGCCATTTCTGCGCCCAAATTTTTATTTTTATCCGACTTGTTCATTTACTGTAATGTTAGATTCAGACCTAGAGCCATATATATTCTGGTCCGATTAGTACAACATATTGACCTGTTGGCGCAGTGGTTAGCGTGCTGACAATAATTGATATCTTCCATAGTGTGATTATGTGGGAGACCCCAGTTCTACTCTGGGACAGGTCACTAGTAGGATTGAATTTTTTCTTTTCCGCCAGCAACCACGTATTACATTGGAACTGAACTAGAACAACACGCAGCAGGGCTTGTTAGCGCAGTCGGAAGCGCACCATTGCCATATACCAGCCTGATGATCGCTTGTGACCTGGTGGAGCGTGCGTTTACATTTTGTCCATGCTTCGCTACCTCTCTGATTTATTCTAGATGAATCATCGCCGTTTTCACCCTGCGTGGAAATCACTAGCACTGGATTATTTGGCCATCCAAGCTGCCTCTGTTTCTGCTGAACGCTCATTCTCATCCGGCGGCATTACCATTTCAAAGCGACGTAATAGGCTTAAAGGTGATATTATTGAGGCACTTCAATTCTTGAAGTCGTCGCTCCGCAGCGAAATTCTTTTTCCGGAAATGCCGTGCTCGGCTAATGAACCAGCGCTGATCGATTACGAGGTCGAAGAGGAGGCAGAAGAGGCAGAAAATGATGGATTGGGCATCTGGGATGCATGTTTAGCGGACGAGGAGGATGTAGGAGAGGATGACGAGGATATAAATATATATTTCTGATTAGCGAACTTGATATATTTAATACGGCAAGCCCGGGCCCGAGTCAAAGCCCGACCGACCTGGGCCCAACCCGTTGGGTAGGGTCGGGCTCAGGATATTTTGAAGCCCAAGCCCGCCAAGACCCGACCCAAGCCCGGGCTTTGAAGCCCGACCCGACCCGGCCAACACTAATACCAGGTGTGTGTTCAGTGTGTGGGAGGCCCCGGTTTGAAGCTGGGACAGGTCGTTAGACTTGAATACGATTCTCTTTTCTCTTGTTGTCTCGATTTCTTTTTCTTCGTGTCGACTCGCAGGCTGTGCCGATAATATTGCAGCTAACTAACATAACGGGAGAAGAAGACCTGTTAGCGCAGTCGAAAGCGCGCTCATGCCATATTGAAGGTATATATCTGAGAGTATGCCGGTTTGAACCTAGGACAGGTCATTATAGAGTGTGAACCGGATTTTTGCTTCCTCTGAGTGTTGATTTTTTTCTTTGGTTCTTCTCTTTGTGTCGATTCCTTTTCATTCTGATTTCGTTTCATTCCACTGTGGGCCCACAATTTAAAAGCGGCGGGCCCGGGCTCCTTGACTGGATTTTGAGTCGCCAAATTGCCAGGCTAATTTACCAATGCTGATGTTGATGAAGAGAGTTATGCAGTTCGAATCTGGGATGGGTCATTCGACCATACCACCAACCATTTTTTGGTCCGGCTCGTTTATTTCATTTTTCTCAAGGCCGTCCACTACCAGGACCACCATCGTATATATTCTGGTTCAATTAGGATACCATGAAGACCCGTTGGCGCATTCGGCAGCGCACCTGCAATAACTGCGTATTCTACTTGACATTATGTGGGAGGACCTATTCGACTCTGGGACAGGTCGTGATCGTTTACAATCCTATTTTTTGTTTCTGGTCGTTTCTCTTTAAATTCAGAGCCATATATTCTGGTTCAGCTAACAAGATATAACGACCTGTTGGCGCACTCGGCAGCGCATAACTTGATATATCCTCGACAGCTATATGAGTGGTCCCAGTTCGACTCTGGGATGGGACATTTGAACTTCTCCGTACAGTTTTTTGTCCAGCTCGTTCAAGTTTTTTCTGAAGGCCGTCCACTACCAGAACCACTACCGTACATACCCAGGTTGATTAGTTTGAGGAAAAGACCCGTTGGCGCACTCAGCAGCGCACCCACACACAATAACTGAGTACTGATCCTCGACAGTTATATGGGAGGACCCAGTTCGATTCTGGGCCAGGTCGTGATCTTGTACAATCCCATTTGTTGTTTCGGGTCGTTTCATTTTAAATTCAAAGCCTATCATAGTCCGATTAGGTTGCCAGGAGGACCCGTTGGCGCACTCGGCAGCGCACCCACAATAATTGATATCGAATACACCCAGGGCACTTACGTGGGCGGATCCACTTCGACTCTGGGACAGGTCATGGAGCCTTCTTGTCAAGACATTTTTTGTCCAGCTCGTTCATTTCATTTTAATTTCAAAGCCTCCACTTCCGCTATTTAATGTGCTACAACTAGGATACCAGGAAGACCTGTTGGTGTACTCGGCAGCGCACCCACACACAATAACTGAGAACTGATCACCGACAGTTATGTGGGAGGCCCCAGTTCGAATCTGGGATGGGTCATTTCAATTTCGGCACCGCGATTTTTGTCCGGTTCGTCATGTTCATGGATGTGGAATAAATGGTGCACTCTGTTGAAGAGCGCGATTTGAGAACTGTCTGTGCGGCGGGGAATTTCGGGTAATGCTGGACTGGGGAGAACGTGAAGCGGTGAATATCTATGAACAATCGGTAACAGCCCAGTAGATTTTACAGACATCACCGTAGAATTGCCGAATTGCGAAGTAACGGCAGAGAATGTCTGGGAAAACAAGACACACGGGAGCAGAGTACTCAGATGCGAGAAGGTCAAGGCCATGTTCCGAAAGACTTTGAGTTAATCCATGTTTCACGACTCGGATGCATGAGTACAACAAGAGAACGTCGGCAACACCGCGCCGCGCCGGCTCACGAATACGCGCCTGACGCCTTTCTCCCCCGCCGCTGGCGGTATCCACGCCCCTCCTCCCCCACCATTCGCATCCATGTCATCCTCCACACTAGTGCACCATACAGCGACGCTGAGAACGTCTGAGGCAGCACCGAACTGCACCGCGAATACGAGCCTGCCGGGCGAGGGACACGTAGCCTACAGCATCCACCCTCCGCCTCCCACCTCCGCTTCCCACATCCCCATCCGCGCCAGCGCACATTCGAAGACGCGGCCGTGCAGAGACCGTTCTCGGCGGCATCGCGGCGCGAATACGCGTGCCGACCGAAGCGCACTCTGCACAATCCACCCTCCGCCTCCCACCTCCGTACCCCACATCCCATCGCACCAGAAACCACAGCCGCCTGCATCGCACCCCCGCCGGCACGAGAATACAAGCCTGCCGCCCTCCTCCCCCGCCACGCGCAGCATCCACACCCATCCACGCCATGCCCCACCAGCACCATACCCGACGCGGCTGCGCAGAGAACATCTGAGGTAGCACCGCACCGCGCCGGTACGCGAACACGCCAACCGAAGTGCACTCTGCAGCATCCACGCCCCTTCACACCCGTCCGGCGCTCCGCCTAGCGCACCACACGAAGACGCGGCTGCGTAGAGAACGTCCTGGCAACACGCGGAGACCGCCCTCGGCCGCACCGCACCGCGAATACGAGTCTGCCGCACGACCGAAGCGCGATCTGCAGTCCTGGAATGCGACGCGCGCCTCGCGGGGGGAGTGCGCGCCGCACAGAAGAGGCCCCCACCGTCGAAGCCGCTCGCGTAGTGCTGCCCGCGGTAAGGCGAGGCTGGCTGTTATCGGCGGCGGCGGGACCCGCTGCTATCAGGCGGCAGACGAACGCTAAGAGGCCGTGCGTCATCGTGGCATGGGGAGGGCGGATGGAGACGTCAGATTGAATGAATGCCGCGGGCCACGGTGAAGATGACGGGACGCTGGCGAGACGAACGTGATGCCGCTGGTCTCGCGCGCTACAGCGCGGCTAGGAGCGTGCTGCGGCGAGGCCAGCCGAGAAGGACGCTGCGGGGCGGGCGAACGTGCCAGGTCCGGCCACAGGTAGAGCGCTGCGAGAGGTGGTCGTTGTGGGGTGGGGAAGAAAGGTGGTGTGGGGATTGAAAGCCGCTGCGATGATGATGGGGCACTGGAATATCAATACGACGGGCGTGCTGCCGATGCGACGGGGGTGCTGCAGCGCGACGCCCGAAGTGCTTTGCCAGTTCGGCGCGCGGATTGCTCGATAGCACGGCGCTCGGGGGCTCCTCCTATGGGGCAACAGGACCACCTGCTATCGCGAGGCGGACGGGCAACGCGCCGCGTCTGCGAGCGCGTCGAGAAGCGGTTTCTGCCAGGTGGGGGAGAGATTGAAGGGTGCTGCGCGTGAAGATGACGGGGCGCTGCGGCGCGCGAAGACGGGGCGCCGGAATGGACCGCGCTGACGTGCTGGGGCTGTTCCTGCGCGCTGCAGCGCGGCGCACGGGTTGGACCTGCTGCTATCATCCGGGAGCACGCGAACGCGCACCGAGTCGGGGCTAAATCAAGAACCGGTCGTCGAGGTGATGACCGTATTAAATGCTGTGTGTGAGCTTGAAGATGACGGCGCCAGAAGGGACCACGCCGACGTGCTGCCGCCGTCCTCGCGCACTACAGCGTGGCGCACGGATGGCGCGCGGCGAGGAGCTGCGCATCGGCCCGCGGGGCCGGCAGGAAAGAGCGCGGCGGGTATCCGTGCCATGCAGGTGGGCGCACAGGTAGGCGCCGACGCATCGTTGGTGGGATGCAGAGATCCTGCGATGCGGGTGTGTCTGCGTGCAGATGCGATATCTCAGTATTAGAAGAACATAAGTATGCGGGTCGAAACCCACCGAACTCGGGGAGCTTGTTGCGCTCGCACAGACCTTGACTGAACCGCCGATGAAATGTTTTGGCCTAGAGACTCGCGATTAAGAAAGGAGGGGAAGGGTACTGCGAACGCGCTCACCTCGAGCGTTAGCATGGTCACCGTTTTGAGTCGGTGCAGCAAGTGCGTTGTCTGAGTTGTGGTACCGGTCGCTTCCAGTGAGATTGTAGGCCCGAGGGCGCATTCGCGTTTGTATGGCTCCGTGCGTCGATCGATCGCGGTGCAAAATGAAGCAAGGGGGCGGTGCAAACATTTGGTCGTGCTAGTCTCCGGTTCTTTTCGGCCCGACTCAGCCTTCAGGTTCAAAAGCTGCAGCGATCGCAAGCGACTTACAAATATGCTCAAATGGACGTCAAGTTTTAATTTGTTGACCCCACCTTGCCTCCTGAAAATTGAAACAAGTTCAACATTGAACTCAAGTTTTGTCAGCCGGTCTCCCGCCAACCAGACGTAAGTACTTCCAATCATCTCAATGTTTAAAATCCAGGCACACCTGAGCCAAAAAAAAAAAGAAAAGAAAAGGAATTATGACAATTATAAGATAACCTAACCCCAGATCGAACGGGGACCTCCCAGAGCCTCACAACGGATACAGTGTATTTCTCGTAGGTGTGTAGCATAACCACCAGGTTGTTACCCCGTCTTTCCTATCAAGATTTATACGAAAGATTAAATTTAAAGTCAGCAAGGACAATCCAAGCCGTCAAGATTCAATTCAAATTTAGATAAGTATACAAGGTGGATGCAGCCCGCGCGATTTCTACGAAAACGAAAGAGCGCTCTCCGGAAGAATGCACGCTGACAGGTTGAGCAAAAAACAATAGAACAAGGAAATAAAAGGTTATAGCAGGACCGATTATGACCCAACCCCGAGTCGAACGGGGTCCTCCCACAGAGCTCGAAATTTCACTGTTATTTCTAGTAGGCGTGCGTGGTCTCTACCCCATCTTTTGTATCGGGATTTTATACGAAGGTTTCATTTAAATGCAGTAAAGACGATCCGAGTTGTCCAGATTCACGCCCCGATTCAGAGTCGGATGGAAGAAGCACGCCGTCTGTACGAACACGAAGACACACTCTCCTGATAAATACCCCTTCATTCAATATCATGGCCTGCGGCACCTGCAGGTTGAAAGAAGAAGAAGAAAAACGATAAAAGTAAAAGCTCGCATCCCTTGAATGACGACCCAACCCCAAATCGAACGGGGACCTCCCACGAAATTTTATTCTTTTCTTTGTATTTGTCGTGGGCGTGCAACATACACCACTGGGTCTGTAACCGATATTTTGTATGCATAATTTATGTTCAGTTCAAAATCGGCATGCATGATCCAAGTTGTCAACGTTCCATTCTGATTCACACCATTGGTGGTGGTGGAATCTGGATGAAGCGCGTGCCGGATGAATGTACATTTAGGTTTATTCAATATCATGCTCAATTCCAAGAAGAACAAGAGAAAGAAAATGGCATCTTTGACCGACGACTACCTGACCCTGACTTGAACGAAAGTCTCCTACAAAGAAGACACTGAGACATTTTTTATTTATTTGTTGTAGGTGTGTGACGTACACCACCAGGTTGTTACCCCCTCATTTATATGCGTGATTTAGGCTCGGTTCAAAAATCAACGACAATGTCAAGATGGTACTGGTGGATGCGGGGGTGAGGGTGTGCTCTTCTGATCATTCAGGTTTCCAGGTGCTATCGATGTATGGGGGAAACGGATCGTCCCCCTTTTCATACAGTGTTACATATCTTTTATGCCCTTCATGCCATTTGATCCACCTCTTCTCCTGGGTCCTGAACGTGGTCAACGGAAATATATTCCGGGGCCAACTGGGATTCAAATTGAGAGATCACTTCCATTGGGGGCTGAGGGAATGCCTAGATCGGCTGAGGATTTTTTCAGATGTATGAGAACAAAACTGGTTTCAGGCTCAATCCCAGTTATGAAGCTGAACTGTATGTGACCTGTAATTGTGTGCTGGACTCAGGTTGTGTCACCCTCATTAAACACCTTCCATCACTGCTGCTTCCCAGGGAGGTTGCTTCATATCAATTGTATATTGACATAATGAACTGTTTGAGTAATATGAGCACATTCCTCATTCACACATCAATCAAAAAATCCACAATTTCTGGTAGATCCTACTTTGTCAAGGGGAGCCAATGTGACTTTGTGAATATTCAGTGTTGTGCAACTCTACTTGTGGCCATACTTTTAGTCCTGACCATATGTCAGTTCAAAATTTAATTGGTTTCATCCTACATGTGAGGGAAAAAAATATTGAATCAAAGAGCTTCACTTAGCTGATTTGACAAGATCAGATCAACTCTATCCTTAGCATAGTTGAGTCCTGTTTCAATCCGGAGCAAATATGTTGGTAAGTCGAAAAGATACTTTGAGTTGGAAGCTTTGTTTCTGGGAATTTTAAACCTAACTCCAGCACATGAAATTGAAAAATTCAGATTGGGTTCAAACACAAATGGAGGATGTAATGGTACATGTCCTATGATTGATGTGTTGGGTATTAGATTGACAGAAATATGGACTGGGTGGGTACAAAGAACTTGTGTTCATCTGTGGCAGAAAATCAAATTCAATGCTGAAATTCCTGGAGTCTGAGATCCAATTTACCAAATTTGCACTGTTTCAAACATTGTGGCTGGAATTCTG